GAAAAGTGTGTAATTCTCCATTTTCAGCCGTTCTACCTTTGGCCTACTGTCCTTCTGTTAGCGGTTGTCGAGCATTGATTAGAGAAAAGGAAAGACCTGAGGTAAGCATATTTTTCTATTTTAGAGAATGGCCAGAAAAGTTTGGATACTCAAGTCTCTCGCAGGAAATTCATTGAGAGGCTGTAACTAAACAATTGCTCAAGCAGAGCCGCTTGTAAATCATTAGTGGCTGAGGAGTTTAACTGTAAACTCTCGCCCAGACAGCACTTTTACAAGCTAACCAATCAAGCTTTTCCTCGAATACGGTATTGGGCGAGAGTTCACAACCGAATTCCTCGGCCACGAATCAGTTTTTAACTTCCACTTGAGAGTGGCTTAGTTGAGATCTTTCAATCAGTACACTGAATTTAAGCTACGCAGATTTGCCGGACTGTCTTGAAGTTCGATACCAAAGAATAAAATCGATTATTTCAGGTGATTCAATTTTGGATGGAGGATAAGTACACCGCTACCCTTTACCACAACAATACCCAAAAAGGACCAGTTTTCATCGTGAGTCTCATGCATCCTTCACTTACTCCTCATTTTTGAGCACTAAAATGCCTATTTTAGGACTCGATCATTGCCGTACCATACCATTCCTTCAACGAGAATCTTATGACTCCTCTGCCAATTGACGTCTCAAACGAATTCGTCCAGGAGTGCAGTGCTGATTTCTACCAGAATGAGTGTGTTTTGAAAGGAAGGCCCTGGGTCTACATTCTAACTACAAAATGAAATTTTCAGCCCCGAAAATGTTTCCGACTTTTGCCGTGACAAGATCTTCTCCCTCACAACGGACTTCAATCAAGCGGCATTTTCTTGCGATTGTATAGCCAGGGTGGGTATGCTCTATTTGCCCAGTCAGCGATTGAGCAAAGCAAAAAGTTGTGATTCAAGGGTTCCGAATCCTTTTGCTGTGACGAATATGGTGGACAATGTAAATGCAAGCCAAATATCATTGGAAGACGCTGCGAACGATGTGCTCCCGGATATTACAATTACCCCGAATGCATAAGTATGTTCACTGCATAGATTGAAAACAAATACAGAATATTAGCTGTTTTGGGGACCAGTTTTCGCCATAAACTTTCGGCTTTGAAGCCCAGGTGAAACTTTGAAAAAGAAGAAGAAACTCAGCAAGAGCCTGAAATGTGATAAAGTCTCAAAGCAAGAAATAATGAAGAAATCTGGTCCCCAAGCCACGTTATTATATGGGGAAACGCATTAAAACACTGAGAGTTATCGTTTTGGTGAGGAGTCTTCAGGCTTGATTCCAAAACCAGTAGCGAGAACTGGTCCCCTTCTGTCCAAACTTTCTGGCTCCTTGCTAGGAAATGGAATTGGACAGTTGCTGCTAGCTAAAAAAA